CAATGTGAGCGCTCGCGCCTCTCGTCCTCTCGACAACTTCATGGCTGCTGATGCGTGCGTTGTTCGTTTCTGGGTGTTTTGCGCGCGTCGAAACGATATTTTCACGAGGTCTCTTGCGAGCTATCGTAGCGCTAGCCTTCTAAATCTTGACTCGTACGAAGCAACCTGCCTCACCTCACTGAGGTCCTGGCAGTAATAAGGGTATTACGGCCATTGCCCCCTCAGCAAGCTCGCCATTGTGAAACCATATTTGCCCCTGAGTACACCCTATTGAATTTATATACTACCTTCGAGCCACAATGAACTGCTTATGCAAGCGAGATCAAAGTATTTGTAGTGCTCTTGCTTTGCCCTAGCCCAAACGCGCCGATAAGATCACTGCAACCACACACAGCATCGCAGCTATTGCAGCGCGATGTGAGTGGTATCGCAAAGTTCTGCCTGTGGAGCGATTCAATGCCAATCGATGGCGCTCCACGAGAGGTTAGAACCAGGCCACCCGCGTGGGGCACCAGGCTGGGCAGCAGGGAGTCTTTCTTGTCTTGTAATGATTGAAGCCAAAGCTTCTTGATATCCGCTCCACATGTTATTCACATGTGCACCAACCCATCAGCAAGGTTCACCGCCGATCTTTCAGCAGACGAACCTTTGCAGCGTATCCAGCAGCTCTTCTGGGCTGATGCTACAGTCCGTCAACAGTGGAGACGATGATGAGATGACGTTGGGGTGAGGTTTCTGAAGCCGATCGAAAATCACCGAGTTCCGACGAGACAAGGTCCTTGGAGAAGAGCACTTACCGAGAGAGCGCTCAACTGTGCACGTGTGCAGCTCCAGCAGCATATTACACATTGTACTTGCTGCGGCAGCTCCGAGTCGCAAGCTCCATTCCCACCGTGTACCGAAAGAGACAGTGTCGATTGATTGGTCTCGATTGAGACGCAATTGAGAAACACACGATCCCACATTGCCGTCAACACCCACTATTGAGATGATGCCGGCGCGGGTCGGCGTCTGGGTGCTCGGGACCGACCGGTCGTATCGGCGGCTCGTGCTCTACGTCGCCTTCTCGTACATGGCGCTTATCCTTCTCCACGCGATCGCGCTCGGGCTCTGGCTCTTCTGGCTCGCCATGATGCTGCTGCTGCAGCTTCTCTTGTGGCCGTGCCAGCCGTCGTGGACCTTCTTTCGCGACTTTGTACGCGAGAACGTCTGCTCGGGGTACCTCGAGTGGCTCTGCCGCTGGGACGTCCGCGTTCGCAACGTGTACGCAGTCAAGCTCTACATCGAGCCAACGCTGCCCGTGGATCTGGAGACGCACGTTGGCCGTGTCTTTGCGTACTTTCTCTTTTGGAAGTCGCTCGAGTTTGGCATCGCCGCCTTGACACTGTTCTTGATCCAGCTGCCATTCTCGACTTGTCAGCCCTATGACTATGAATATGACACGGCCACGCGCAAGTTTGTCGCCGTGACGCGCGAGTGCCACTACGCCGAGCGGGGGATTGCGCTTCTGCTGCCGGTGCTCTTGTTCCTCCGCCTTGTCGCGTGGTGCTCGGTGCGCATGTGCGAGCTTTGCATCGCGCCCATCTTTCGCCCGTCGCTCGCCACGTACCAAAGCCTCGTCGACACCAACGAGCCGGACGACGCACCGTTGCGGCTGCGTCCAACGGCGCCCCGCGGCGAAGACACGCTCGGTATTACGACGGTCGCCTACCCGACGAATACCTACTGCATTCCTGTCCCGCAACACGCTCCCAAGCCGGCAGCGACGCCGGTGCCACTGCTCGAATCACCGCCATCGAAACCAGCCAGAGCGTCGGCATGCCGACCTTTTGGTCTACACCGGCGACGCACATCCGATGAGGCCACGACAGAGATGCCCCGTCCCAACCGCAAAGTCAGCGACAGCGACGAATTGAGCGCAGCAGACATGACAATGCAACGTCTCCGCTTCGTCACGGAGCCTCTTCAAGCCGTCGATCAAGCTTACGATGCATTTGATGGATTGTACCAAGCACCTCCGACTGGCGGTGCCTTCCGTGGCGTCGATCTACCAGAAGAGAATACACCCTCTACTGTGCCCGTCACCACCCACGTCACGTACGATGT